AGGCGCTAGGCCTGAATGGGTGATCAGCTGACTGCAGGTAACAAGGCAGGCTGTCACAGCTTGCCGATACGTTCGAAAGTGCTAAATCCCTTTCTCGAGTTATTAAGGTTAAGCACGGAAATCTGTACGCTGTCTTTAATAAGAGCTGATTTTATTCGGAATGCTTTTAAGTTTTAGCGGGTCTTTTTTTAGCGTGTAGCTGCTATTGCTTCGCGTATTATCAAGCCCGATTATATTTTCGAAGCCGTTATTATTGCTACTCGGTCTTGGTTTTTAAGAAACCCGGTTATAGCTTTTAAGAAAAAGGTTTAAAAGCCGCTGAAGTGATTTTAGCTTTTGTATAATCGGCGTATTACGTAGCGATTAATAAATTAAAAGCGTCGAGTACGCTAAAGTGCTTCGTCGTAGCCTTTCGTTAGATTGTATAGCGTAAGTTCGTAATTCTGCTATTTGCTTTGCTATAGCTTTTATATTTCGTTTTATATCTCTTTTCTTTTTTAAAAACTCTTTTCGTAACTTTCGGATCTCTTCTTCTTCTTTTTTCTCTTTCCTTTTTAGACTTCGTAAAAGTAGTAAAGGTGGTTGAAGCGTATTATCTTCGTCGTCCGTAAGGTTTTCGGCGGTCCACTTTGAATCGAAGCTTAAAAGTATTGCTTATTGCTCTTTTATTTCTTTAAGAGTCTATTAGTACTGCTGCTCGTCGTTTAAGAGCTTGATTATCTTATTAGCGTAGCCTTTTTGCTTTAAAAAGCACTATACGCCTTTAAACAGCAAGTGTTCTTTAAAGCTAATAAAAGTAGCAAACTTAAAGCTTCGTCTCGTATTATCTTTCGTCATCGTAAAACTCGTTTAATCTTAGCGTGAGAAAGCGTGCCGGAATAAGCTTTATAAGTCGTAATCCTTTAGCCTTTTACACTTCGCATTCAAAAAGTCTTTCATTATTGCTCGAGCCGTAATCTTATTGTCGGGCTTTGCGTATAAGAGCTCGTTTAAGTCAAATGAGATGCTCGATATCTTATCGTCTAGTCCTTTCGAAAAGCTTAAAAGCCCTAAGTATAGTGTTTCTTTTGGCTAAATAGCTAAGGGTTCCGTAAGTAGTGATGAAATTCGAAAGGTATAATACCTTATTGCTCTTTGTCGGCTAGACTCTCTACCTAGAGGTTCAGTTGCTCGATCGGCCATAGTTGTTGTCTGTTTGTGTATAAGTCGATCCAAATTAATTAAGTTGCTATATGTAGCAAGCGCGGCTCTTATAGCGTTGAAGATTGTTGTTTTTAAAAGTGATTTGGTTCGGAATCACTTTTCCGTAAGAATAAGGAAAAATCGATAGTATAAGCAAGCGACTTGATACGGAATCGCTTTTCCGTTATTGTGACGAACTGATGAATTCTGACCTTAGAATACAAAGTGAGGAGAGGAAACAGGAAGCTCGGGGAGCTCAGGAAGGTCTATATACATGGCCACAGGCGCTAGGCCTGGATGGGTGATCAGCTGACTGCAGGTAACAAGGCAGGCTGTCACACTACCCCTTTAGAGAGCGGTCCCAGCTCTCTCAAAAGTACCTGACAGAGGAAGGGAAAAAATAAAAAAAATTCAGTCGTGAACCATGGTTCACGGGTGGAATTGCTGAAAAAAAAACCAAAAAATACGCCGAGGCTACCGATCGCAAAGAGCATGCGTCGTAGCTTCTAGAAGCGTTCCAAATCCGCCAAAATATCCTCCTTTTCGTCTGAATCAAACCCCTTTAAACCCTTGTTCTCTCGAAAAGAACTCGTCTCTTTGTTAAGGGCTTAGCTAAAAGGAAAGAGCACCCAGCAATCCAAATTGATTGCACCACAACGGGTAGATTGATAAGCTTGCTAATCGAGGGAGCTGTGAAGAGCATGCTAGAGGGTGGGATTTCGATCTTTTAAAAAGCTAAGTCTTTGTTTGATTGCCGAAAGAGTTCTATAGCGCCGAAGGAATCGAAAGCGTATTGCAAGTGCTCAAGCTGCAAATAACGTGCTGCAAATACTTGAGTACCGAGAGGTCGGTTAAATCGCCGAAAGAGAGGGGGGGGGGGCCCGTGGCCGTGCGAGGGCGGTTTTGAGGAGGGGCCGAAAGGAGCCGAGGGACGAAGAGAATCCGTAGGACGGGCCGGGAGAAAAACCAAAAGGACCGGAAGAACCGAAGAGCCGAAAAGCCGAAAAGCCGAAAAGCCGAAAAGCCGAAAAGCCAGGAAAGGGGAACTCGTAAGAACGAACCGAAAAGCTAGGAAGGCCGAGAGAGCCGGAAAAGCGTTCAGGCTGCTGAATGACGTGCGCGTACTCGGTATACGTTAAGGAGCGTCAATTTGGCTGTTTGAGCGAGTCCGTATAGTTGAATGAGGACCGGGAGCCGTATCGGGGTACCGTAAACGTAATTGAGTTGAGTAGTGGGTCCGCCAAAAGCTTTACCGCCGATAAGGAGCTGGGCCGTGAATACCGATATTGTAGTTCCGAACTTCCGAAGTCTTGAGCTGAAGCGTTGAAAAAAGGGACCGTATTATTGAACTTATCGGGATCCGAAAAGAGAACGCATTGCGCTGGCGAAAGGGCCATTCGTAATTGCTCTACGAGAGACTCCAATTGAGCGATTCTCGTAAGGGGGGAAGGGCCGTCGTCTTCGTAGGAGGACATGGTGGTGGAATGAGGAGGGAGGGGGCGTTTGAGTGTCGGAAACGCCAGGAAAAAGAGTAGGGAAGAGAGTTCGTCTTGCAATCGAAGTGCAAAAATTGAGAAGGGGAGCTCTTTTAAGTCGGAAGAGCTGAGGAAGAGGTGAGGTCGTAAAAAAGACAATAATCTGTAAGCAATAAAAGAAGACCGTGGAGCACCCAACAAGTAACTCACTCCGTTCTTGACAATAATCAATAAGCTGTAATCTGTAATAATAATCAATAATCAATAAGCTGTAATACGACGACCTGATCGAAGGACTTTGTATAATGTGACGAACTGATGAATTCTGACCTTAGAATACAAAGTGAGGAGAGGAAACAAGAAGCTCGGGGAGCTCAGGAAGGTCTATATACATGGCCACAGGCGCTAGGCCTGGATGGGTGATCAGCTGACTGCAGGTAACAAGGCAGGCTGTCACAGTTATAAAAGGAAAGAAGTATCGTATTGAAAAGTATCCTCGCTATAAAGTCCTAGCTTCTTTGTGATTAATCACTTAATAGTAAATCAGCCATTGATCAGTGTTAGATTGCTTCTAAGCGATTGAGAATATATTCGTAACTTCGTAAGGTCGTTAAAGTACTTGCAATTTCAAAACACTTAGTTGGTAAAGTATCTGAATTCTAACTCCTCCTTAAAGCTTAAGGGAGCTGATTCCTTTTATACGATTAGAAGGAATCACGTGCATTAGCTAGCTAATAAGTTTACTTGTCAAGTTGGGGGTCCCTTGACTGCTGACATGCTAAGCGAGGCATGCCAAGTGGCCCGTGAACCATGGTTCACGGGTGAGCTTCCCTAACTACTACTACTACTACTATTAGCTAGCTAAGGTCGATATGGAGATACCGACAGTTATTATAAAACAAAGTGTTTTTTTAAATATAAACGCTTTTTAGAATTCTTTTTACGGATAAGCAATCTTTTTTAATAATTACACCGCTTTGCTAAACGATAATATTTTAGAAAATAAAGTCAACTTTATAAAGCACGCTTGCACGATCGTTTTAAAACGCATACTGCTAACCTTTCGATAGAAAGTCATTAATGAATTAAGCTAACTTTTCGCCGTTATAATTTAGCTAGACTACGTTAGTTACGTATTAAAAGCTTTAATCGAAAGAATAGATTAGAACGAACCTCGAGTAGTAAAAGAATTGATCGCTATTTTTGCTATGTCTCGGATTTAGTTTTAAAAACACTTTATTAAGCATAAGAAGAAGTTGTTTTCGGCATTTAAAAAAGGATTTGCTATTGTGTTAGATATTAAAGCTAAGACTTACGAAGCTAAGTCTTTTTTTAAAAGCAAGAGCCGTCGAGCTAACGACTTTATAAACGCCGATAAGTTAAAAGATTTTAAAAAGAGCTTGCGACCGATTGAGTTGTTTTTTAACGACTTTAATTTAAATGTAAAGATTAATTTAAAAAATACGAAATCTACTTGTAAATTACGGTTCACGAGTTAAATCGATAATCTTAAAGCGTTATCTTTTTAATTAGAATCTTTAGACCGCGCATTCGATAAGGCTATAAAAGCCTTAAATGACTTGCTCGAAGACGAAAACGACTTAATTAATAGCTCTAAACTTTATTTTAGCTTCGCTAATCTTTCGTCGGCTAAGTTCATACTTATTAACGATGCTATCGGCAATAAACGCAAGAACGATACGCGCTCTTTTACTTTTAAAGATATTGTTGCTAGTACGTTATCGTTTAATACTAGCCTTGCTAAAAGAAGAAAACTTTTTTAGCTTAAGGAGAACGAAAGAGTTGAGGACGTAAGCACAAAAGAAGATTATAAAGAAGCTGCTAAAGCGTAGTTTAGATGTTTAAATGTTTAGAGTTTAAAGACAAGATACTCTTTTTTTCTTTTGTACATTAGATTTTTTCTTTCTTTTATACTCTTTTTTTTCTTTTTGCTTAATAGTAAGCGGGGGCGCTTACTTATTCTATAAGAGGACGGATATAAACACCTTGCTTGATAAAGTACTTGCTATAGCTATTAAGGCTATACTAGACGGACTTATCTTTTATAAAAAGGCACACATCTTTTAGCTAAAACAATCAACGAGCTTTCCACCTATCTTTTTGGCACTTCTTTTGTAAGACCATAAGGTCTAGCTTCAGAGCCAGGCTTTTATACGGCACTTCTTTTTGGGTGCTTCTACAGTAATTAATCGTGAATTCTATTCTACATAAACTTAAGCATTGAGTTTAAGAATGATCTCAATTCCGTATCGCTATCCTTAACGCCGTAAAACAACTTCGGAGCTAGCTCGTCGTTTTTCTAAATCAATTGCATAACGCGTTGAAATAAAATAAGATCGCAATTAGCTTTTTTAAATTTAGCATTCTTTTCGAATCTTTTTATATTCTATTAAGCGGCTAGACCTAGCAATTCATATTTAATCTTATCGGTATTTGCTTTAATTTTAGCTCGCTAATACTTCTTTTTATTAAAAGAAAAGTAGACGTAAAGAAGCTTGATTAAATGAAGACTAAAAGTTATAATATTAGTTTAATTGATTAAAAGCATAATAGAATAAATTCTTACTTAATTCGTTTTGAAACCGTGCTTGTTAAGTCTTAAGCTATCAATTTAAAAAAAGCTTCTTTACTTTTTAAATTAGCAGCTCGGCACTTTATTAATAAAGACCGCGCTATACTTTGCTAATAGCGACGAAATTGTTAAACGGTTATTATATAGCGTAACTTTATATTATTAGCAAAATATAAATATTTAAATAAAATAAAAGCTTATTTATACGTACTGACGTGTTAATTGCCGAGTAACTTTCTTTATCTTTTTATCTGTAATCGAGACGTATTTATCGCGAGGTATATTATTATTTTCTTTTTCGTCTTTTCGCAAATTAAATTCTTTATAAACCTTTTCGTTTAAATTGAATACTTTATTAACTTAATCGCTATTCAAGTATTTTCTATTATTAAATCTAGCTGTAAAAGAAGCGGCTTGCATAGCAAGATTATCCGCCTAGATGCTTCGATTTTATTTAAAATCGATTAATAAATTGCTTAATAAATTAAAAAAAAGAAAAAGTACCGTTTCTTTATAAGATTCTTTCGCATTTCGGCTTATCGAGTTTTCTTTTTAGCTTTTGATGCTTAAAAATATTTTAAGGTTTGTTTTTAAATTATAAAAAGCTAATTAACGGCCGCTTGATTTCGTCTTTTAGCTTTTCGAAGCTTATCTGCTTAAAGATCTTGTTTTAGCTTTGCTATACGAGCATTAGCTCTTATCGTATAAAGATTAATTGATAATTAGCCTCTCTTTAGCCTTTTTCTTTAAGAAAAATTAATAAATTAATAAAAGTTAAAATACTACGTAAAAAAAAAATTTACTTTACGCTTGCTAAGGTTTCTTAACACCGGATTGCTTGCCGCTACGATTGCCGTCGTATCGGCCGCATTTTAAGAAAGACGTTTTTGATTAGTAAATAGATTAGTAAATAAGAAAATGATTTTTATTATAGATTTTTTAATCTTTTTTATTAAATTAAGCTAATTTGTATTTGTAATAATACTTTTTATCGAATCAAGTTGATAAGCGGCTATATTGAATAGTATTATAAAGAAGCTAAACGTTAAGAGTAATTGTTTAAAGTAAAATTAAAAGTAATAAAATAAAAGTGTTAAGATTAAAAGTGAACTCGTATATTTTATTTCTAAAACATCTTAGCGCGGCCGCTAGTGAATTTACGAAGTGATAAAGCAGCCGCAGCTAAGATAAAGCGGCCGTAGTTAAAATAAAACGGCCGCTTCGCGCAATTTTTACTTTATAAAGTAAAGTTTGATTTCTTTTTATTATTACTTAATAATCAATTATAACTATCGCTTTCTTATTTGCTACGCTTTTAAATACAACGCTATTCATTGCTTTATAAAGTCGTCTTTTTCTTGTTTAAAATTATCAACTTATTAATCGTAAATTAAATTATCGCGATCAAGTCTTTTTATTAATACTTTTAAATAGCTTTTTTATTAAACGAACCTTTGCTTTCGAACCGACTTCCTTTTACCGATATACTAAGCACTACGGCTAAAAGAGATAACGCAAGCTAAGATAAGTTAATTAATAAAGCAATTAAGAATCAAGCGATTAAAAGTCAAGCGGTTAAAAGTTAAGCGGTTAAAGGTTAAGCGGCTAAAGGTTAAGCGGCTAAAGGTCAAGCAAATAAAGACGAAGCATAAGAAAGTAAAGCAGATATAATACGCGGCGAAAGCGTAAAAAAAGAAAACTTAAATTTATAAAGTAAATAAAATAAGTTTATATTTAATTAATCGGAGTATTATTAATACTTTTTCAATTACTTTGCTTAACGCAAATCCTTATCTTTAATCTAGTAAAGCTTAATTAGCTACGAATGCGTTAGACTTTACTTTTGCTAAGCGCCGCGCTATTACAACTCGATAGCTATCCGGTTAGTATTTAATTAATAAATTAATTAATAAATCAATTGCAAATAGCTAACAAGCATTTATAAAAATTCTTGACTTTACTTTTGCTAAGCGCCGCGCTATTATAACTCGATAGCTATCCGATTAATATTTGATTAGTAAATTAATTAATAAATCAATTGCAAATAGCTAATAAACATTTATAAAAATTCTTAAAACTTTGCGCGGTATTGCAAGTCTATAATAAAGAACCGATTTATCTTCGTCCTTTTCTCGCCGAATTTCTTAAGGTTAAGCTAGTAAGTATTAATTACTTTATTAATTAATAATTGCTAATTTCTATCATTTTAAGTGACGCTTTTTAAACACTAATAAACTCTCGCGCAAATATAAACTAGCACTTATTATTTCTTAAACCTCGATCCGGTAATGTTTTTAACTTATAATTAATAAATATTTATTAATTAAATTTTTTTTTAATAAACG